AGACGTGCGTATTCTCACATTTTTGAAAGGGGGGTTCAAGGTCATTTCGACGTAACTTTCCTCGCTCTAGAAGTTAAAGCCGCTTTTTTGAAAAATCATAAAATTTGATTTTGCGATTTTGTTTTTTAAAAATTCGAAAAGTAGAAAAAATCGAAAAATCGAAACACTGAAGAGTCGAGTTGAAAATTTGAGAAAAGTCTGAAAACTGAAGACTGTAAAAATTGAAAAATCAAGAAATCGAAAATGAAAAGGTTGAATGATCGAAAATTTGAGTATCGAACATTGAAAACTCCAGAAATCAAAAATCGAAAAGTATAAAAATTGAAAATTTCAATATTGTAAATTAGTACCTGCTAAAATAAGACAGATTTTGGCAAATGACATACCTTCCAAGAAAAGAGAAGGTGGGTGGGCGGGGCTAGTACCTGCTAAGATAAGAGTGATTTTGGCAAATGAGATGCCCTCTAAGAAAAGAGAAGGCTGATGGGCAGGTCTAGTACGTACTAAAATAAGACTAATTTTGGCAAATGATATACCCTCTAAGAAAAGAGAGGGCAGATGGGTGGGGCTAGTTAAAAACAGATAGGTCAGAATTTTCCAAAAATAGAACACCAAAATCCCCGAAAATTGTTTTAAATAATAAAAAAAAAAAAAATTCCGGGCTTCCAAAATAATTCACCATGGGTACCCAAGAGTCCAAAAGTAAAAAAAAATGAAATCTAAAAACTGAAGAATGTAAAAATTGAAAAATCGGAAATTCAAAAAATCAAAAATCCTAAATTTGAAAAATCGAACAATTGAGAAATCGAAAAGGAAACAAATTGGAAATTTTTAAATATAGAGAAAACGAAATTCCAAGAAATCGGAAGAAAACCAAAAGTTCGATAATGTAAAAATCGAAAATCGAAAAATACAAGAATTAGATTAAAGAAAAAATGAAATATTCAATGTCGAAAAATGGAAAATTCCAATGTGTCAACAAACGCTCAAGCGAAGACAAAATTGTATTTTTGTAATAACCAAATTAAAAACAAATAAATTATATTTTCCTTTACATTTAGCCCAGAAGGGGTCCCTTAACTTCGGGGGCCTAAACGGCCAGTACCGACAATGTAAAATATATTTGCAACAGATAACCGACGGGAAAATGGCCTCTCAACAACATGCACAGTGCTTGAAGTGTTTATGTTTGTACATCAGAAGAATGTCACGTACAATTTTGTTTGATTCGAATCACTTCAAAACAGCACTAAAATTATTAATAACCCTCAATTGAACAAAACTTTCCGAGTACTATTTTTATAATTCTTATTTTATCATTAGTTCATTATTATAAAGACGTGCGTTTTCTCACATTTTCGAAAAAATGGAGTGGTACGTTCTTAAATTGATCGATACAAAAATTGATTCAAGGTCATTTCGACGTAACTTTCCTCGCCCTAGAAGTTAAAGCCCAATAAACGCCCCGTTTTTGAAAAATCATAAAATTTGATTTTGCGATTTTGTTTTTTAAAAAATCGAAAAATCGAAACACTGAAGAGTCGAGTTGAAAATTTGAGAAAAGTCTGAAAACTGAAGAATGTAAAAATTGAAAAATCAAAAAATCGAAAATGAAAAGGTTGAATTTGAGTATCGAAAATTGAAAACTCCAGAAACCAAAAATCGAAAAGTATAAAATTTGAAAATTCCAGAATTGGAAATTAGTACCTGCTAAAATAAGACAGATTTTGGCAAATGACATACCTTCCAAGAAAAGAGAGGGTGGGTGGGCGGGGCTAATACCTCCTAAGATAAAAGTGATTTTGGCAAATGAGATACCTTCCAAGAGAAGGGAGGGTGGGTGGGAGGGGCTACTACCTGCTAAGATAAGAGTGATTTTGGCAAATGAGATGTCCTCTAAGAAAAGAGAGGGGGTGGGTGGGCGGGTCTAGTACCTGTTAAGAAAAGATTTTCGATTTCTCAATTGTTCGATTTTTCAAATTTTCAATTTCTGATTTTTTGAATTTTTCCATTCTTCAATTTTTAGTTTTCAATTTTTTTACTTTTGGACTTTTGGGTACCCATAGTGTATTATTTTGGGAGTCCGTGGAGATTTTTCTGTAAATTATTTAAAACAATTTCCGAGGACTTTGGTGTTCTGTTTTTGCAAAACTCTGATCTACCTGTTTTTGAGTTAATTTTGGGACCCCGTTTTTCTTTCTTTTTTTTTTTTGGAAAATTTAAAACAATTTTGAGGTTTTAGGTATGCCTGTTCGGAAAGAACTTGAAAGTGCTTTGGAGCCTCTAATGTCTTCTCTTATAATAATTTGATTAAATTTCTTAGAGGATACGTCATTTGATAAAATCAGTATTATCTTAACAGGTACTATCCTCACCCGCCCACGCTCTATTTTCTTAGAGAATATGTCATTTGCCGAAATCGGTTTTATTTTAGTAGGTACTAGCCCCGCCCCCCCCCCTCTTTTCTTAGAGGGGATCTTATTTGCCAAAATCACTCTTATCTTAGCATGTATTAGGCCCGCCCACCCGCCCCCTCTCTTTTCTTAGAGGGCATCTCATTTGCCAAAATCACTCTTATCTTAGTAGGTAGTAGTCCCGCCCACCCACCCTCTCTTCGCTTGGAAGGTATCTCATTTGCCAAAATCACTCTTATCTTAGGAGGTAGTAATCCCGCCCACCCACCCTCTCTTTTCTTGGAAAGTATGTCATTTGCCAAAATCTGTCTTATTCTGGGAGATACTAATTTACAATATGGGAATTTACAATTTTTATACTGTTCGATTTTTGATTTCTGGGGTTTTCGAATGGTACAAACTGCAAGTCGAGATCTTGAACCATTTTAAAATCGTGACCTGTAATCTTGAAAAATAATTTTTGAGATGGGACTTAAAGTCGATTTTGGTTGAAATTGAATTAATATTCAACACTGATGGCAGAAATGAATTGTACACCACAAATTTAGTCTAGAAGCTTAAATTCAGATAGATCGGAAGAGTTTAATTTTTTCAGCTCGTTTTCTGTGATTGCAAAAGTTTTATATTTTCGAAAATATAAAAATCGAAAATCGAAACATCCAAGAATCAAAATACAGAATGTTGAAAAATGGAAAATTCCAAAATCTAAAAATTGAAAAGTCGAAAGGTCGAAAAAACAAGAAATCGAAATATTGAGAAAAAAACCTCGAAAAATCGAAACATTAAAAGATCGAAAATCAGAGAAATGGACAAACCAAAAAATCTAAAGTTAAAATATCGAAAAACTGAAAAATCCACGAATCGATAAATTCCCAAAATTGAAGATTTGAATAATTGTTGAATTAAAAATTGGAAAAATCGAAAATGTGACATCTAAATAATTTGACTTACTCATGAATTTTTTTGAGACGTAGAGAGAGTATAAGCAAATTTATAAAATATTAATACAGTGATAAATCACAAGTATAAACTCATTATATTTTGCACATTTAAGATAGGATTTATTCAGCAATATTTTGAAGTGACGTCATCAATTTTTTAGATGGGGGATGAGCATTTATACATTTTGATCAAAAATTTAACATGCTTATGATAACTTTAAAACATCTCCAAGATTTCAAAGCATTCGGTTCTGCTAATTATCTAGGTATTCAAGAAAATCTAATTTAAGAAAAATGTATTCGGCCGCTAATATAGCAATAATAAACAAAATCAAGATAAAATTCGTAAACTACGAAAGTATATTATTACGTACAAAATCGGTCGAAAAAACAGAGAAGTCCATGGACTCGATTACAATACTTCCTTAGCTTACGCTATTTTTAAAAAATCACCCTACTTTTTGCTTTAAAATATTATCTCAAAAAGTTCAAATGCAAAATTATCTCTAATCAAACCAGGAAATTTTAATCCTTGTCCACTTTATTGTATCAAAGTGTTTTGGGATTATGGAAACCCGCAATGAGGAGGCGGAGCAATCTAATATCCCTCGCTTTTGACAGTTCATAGATCTTTCTTTAGCAAATTGTTTATTGGTGAATAAAAATATGTTTGTAAAAAGTGTATTTAAGTACCAACGGAAGAGCATTGAATTTTATTCATATTCTTAAAAAAAAAATTTTGGGAAAATGGAGTGAGCCGTTCATTAATTTTTTGAGCTGCCTGTATAAGCAAATCTAAAAAATATGAATGCAAGGATAAATCACAAGTAAAAACTCATCATATTTTGCATAATTTGGGTAGAATTTATTCGGCAAAATTTGATATATATTTTGATTAACAATTTACCATGCTTACAATAACTTTAAAACGTCTGCAAGATTTAAGTATTCAATTTTGCAATTTATTTAATAAAATAAATTGACTGATAAATCACAATGTTTTTCTCTCAAGTGGGAATGGTAACTAATTGAATCTAGGATGTGAAGAAAGTAAAAAAAAGTGCTGATACGATTTATTTCTTATTTGAAAAGAAAAAAAGAGAATGGGTGGGTGGGCGGAGCTTTAACTTTTTCGAAAAATAATCGTAAAATTGAAGAAACGAAAAATTAAAAAATCAAAAATTCACAAGTTGAAATATCGAAACATTGAAGAAATGAAAAAAATTCAAAAACCGAACGTTGCAAAATAAAAATCGAAAAAGTGGAATTATAATCAAGATTTGTGAAAATCAGTCCTATCTTGGCAAATACTAGCCCCGCCCACCCGCCCCGTCCTTTATTTTCTTCTCTCTACTCATTCTAACAACTAGTTTTATTTCTTTCTGTTCAGTATAACATCCACTTTTTATTCAGACTAGATAAAGTCAATTACTGAAATGGAGACGGGGTGGGTGGGCGGGGCTTAATTTGTTCTTCTCTCAAGTGGGAATGGAAACTAGTTGAATCTAGGGTGTGAAAAAAGCTTGATCACGCGGTCTACAATAGTAGATAATTTTTACAATCCCATTTCGTAAAATTTGCATTTTTTATTGAACACAGAAATTCACTTCACTGATACTCTATAAAATAACGTCCTCACTTTCAGGAACAAGAAGCCGAAAGCGGCTCCGTCATCACGGACAAGCTCGACGACAAAGAGGCCGACAATAAGGGCCAGCTTATGAAAATGAAACACATGGGTCAGCTGTGGCTAGCCTCAGAAGTGCGGGCTTTAGAGAGCCGCGTCCGAGGGAAAGCCTCCCTTTCACCGTACCTAGTCTTGGATGCCGACGCTTTAATCAAGTACACCTTCATGGTAAAGCACTTCGTGCACTCGCGCAAATTCATCGTTCTAATACCATCCGCAGGTACGGCGTCCCATTTTGAAAAGTGACAAAATCTTTCATCCCTGTTGTAGTTGTTTCAGCCTTGGACGACCTAAAACGCGAGCAGTCGGAGGCCCGGGACGCCATTCGGTGGCTGGAGTCGCAGTTCCACCGCGGCAACCGGTTTTTCCGGGCCCAGAGACCGCAGGAGAGAGCCGCGATCCCCTTCATCAAGTACCCGAAGAAGAAGGACAAAGAGATGTGCACGTACATCCAGATTATCGAGTGCTGTTATTTTCTGGCCGAGCAGCAGAAAGGCGCCGCTAATTTAATTACGCTCCTCATCGGCAACCAGAACGTATTGTCCAATGGAGAGAATAAGGAGTTTAGTTATGTCGGATTGGCGCAGTCGGCAGGAATTTCGATCGAGTCTATCACACAGTTTTATAGTAAATGGAAAAAGAATTACAAGGCGAGGAGGTGAACGGAGGAGGAGCGGGTTGCGGTTGATGAGCTCATTTTATGATTCGGTTTTTAACGAAAACTGCGAAGGTGGTTTTATTAAAGAAGAAACTTTATTACTGGAATTTTTAACTGTGAACTATAGCGCATTTTATTTCATGTCAACTGATTTTCGTTGTAGTTTTATCTTTTATTTGTCAACAATAAACTAATTTAATCATTCTAGTCGAGAGTTTTACTGGGCGGGGAGACGAGAAAGCTACTCACATTAAGCAGGAGCTAAGTGGTGGAACTGCGGAAATGTTGCAAATGTTTAACATAAACAAATAAATTAAGAAGAGAAAATATAAACATTTTTAAATAAAAGTAGCTGTTGTGGGTTGTCAATGACACATCTTTCGTTTAACACTTCACTAAAATTAGAACTTTTTACAAATCGAGTGTTTACCGTGCTATTATTGACGTAGCAGTGACGTCATAAGGAAAGTTTTTTAAAACAGGGTGTGTAAGCAGCAGAAGAGCTCGAATTACAAACAAATATATTTTTTATTTATTTTATTCTGATTACAAGTGTTTGTAAATGGAATCCGAACCAATATTTGCCACCATGTTTACGTCAAGGAGGCAACTCATTCAACATGGCTCTCGGTGAAGTGTAAATATAACAAATTTCATTTCAATCAGAATTTACTTTCCGATTTTGAGGTACAGAATGCGTTGGACAACACAAACAAAATGAAAAAATACAACTGGCAACATCGCATGTAGTGGATGACCAGTGACATAATAAATATAGAAAGGCTTTGTTACATTGTGCGCAAAATGGCGGAATGTGTTCATAACCGCACACGACGCGACGAAGGGTAATCTAAGCGATGTAATTTATTCTATGATTAATTCAACGTAGTGTTCTAAATTGCCAAGAATGAATTCTTTATCGAACAAAATCGATATTCTACCCGTTAAACTAGGTAACAGTCAGGACAAAGTGATGGAGTGCATGACTAATATCTTTCGCTCGACAAAAAAACGATATTGAGAGTATAAAATTCACCAGTAATGCAAGTCTATGTTCTATTAAACTGGGATGGCAGTTTGATCTCGTGTACTCATAAATCGTGGATTTTCCTAAACCAAAAAAGCCCGATATTTTGAAATTTATGTTCAGAAATTGCTTTGTTACAAGGACCGGAAAGCACATTTTTTGTCGTTTTACTCAGAAGTAAACAAAATTTAAAAAAAAGGAAGTCAAAAAAAGCGACAAGAAAACTAAAAAAGGGGCCCAAAAAATGTAACTAAAATCCAAAAAAATACGAAAAAGGGGTAATAAAAAACGAAAAGAGCGACTAAAAAAAAAAAGTACAAAAATAGGTAAACAACGGTACAAAAAACGACTAAAAAAAAGAACTGACAAAGACAAGATCACAAAATACCGATAAAAAATGGCGGCCAAAAAATGTAACGACAATCCAAAAAAAAAAACGTAAAAAAAGGCTAATAGAAAAATGCAACAAAACGACTAAAGAAAAAGTGAAAAAATCACAAAAAAGAATCCAACAAAAAAAAACGACAAAAAAATGGATCCAAGAAAAGGTGAAAAAAGGGCTAAAAAAAGCGACCAAAAAAAAACTGAGAAGAAAAGGTGAAAAAAGGCAATTAAAAAAGGTAAAAAAACCGGAAAGAAAAAAGGCGACGAATAAAGCGGCAATAAGAAGGTGACATACATACTTAATTACAAAAATGGGTAAACAACGCTACAAAAAACGACTAAAAAAAGTGAACTGACAAAGACAAGATCACAAAATACCGATAAAAAACGGCGGCCAAAAATGTAACGAAAATCCAAAAAAAAAGGTGACAAAAAAGCAACCAAAAATGAGTAAAAATATGACAAAAAAAAGGCGACTAAAAAAATCGGCAAAAAAAAACGAAAAATAGAGCGCAAATAAAGGCTAATAGAAAAATGCAACAAAAAAGTGATATAAAACGACTAAAGAAAAAGTGAAAAAAAGGACAAAAAAATCACAAAAAGAATCCAAAAGAAAACTCACAAAAATCCAACAAAAAAACGACCTAAGAAATTACAAAAAAAATGATCCAAGAAAGGGTGAAAAAAGGACTAAAAAAAGGCGACCAAAAAAACTGAGAAGAAAAGGTGAAAAAAGGCGATTAAAAAGGTGCAAAAATCCGAAAGGAAAAAGGCGACGAATAAAACGACAATAAAAAAGTGACAGAATTAATTACAAAAAAGGTAAAAAACGCGACAAAAAAAGGCTAATTGAAAAATGCAACAAAAAAATTGACAAAAACGACAAAAGAAAAAAAAACTTGATAAAAAAAAGAGAATTCGCAAAAAAATGTCACAAAAATGCGTTTTAAAAAGGCGACAAGAAAACTAGAAAAGAGGGTTACAAAACGAAGGCGAATAAAATATCCAAGAACAAAATAGACAAAATCGCGTCAAAAACGACAAAAAACATTGTCTCAAAAAAGAGCTGACAAAGAAAAGATCTCAAAATCGCGAAAAAATGAGGCCCAAAAAATGTACCTAAAATCCAAAAAAATACGAAAAAGGGGTGATAAAAAAAACGAAAAACGGCGACTAAAAAAAGTCAGAAAAATGGGTAAACAACGTTACAAAAAACAACTAAAAAAAAAGAACTGACAAAGATAAGATCACAAAATACCGACAAAAAATGGTGTCCAAAAAATGTAACGAAAATCCAAAAAAATACGTAAAAAAAGGTTGACAAAAAGCAACCAAAAAAGCAACAAAATGAATAAAATGGCGACTAAAAAAATCGTCAAAAAAAGCACAAAAAAAGATTCCAAAAGAAAACTCACAAAAATCCAACAAAAAAAAAACGATTAAAAAAAATGGATCTAAGAAACACGAACAAAAGGGTAAAAAAAGTCGTCCAAAAAACTGAGAAGAAAAGGGGATTAAAAACGATACAAAAATCTGAAAGAAAAAAGGCCACGAATAAAGCGACAATAAAAAGGTGACATTCTTAATTACAAAAAAGGTAAAAAACGCGACAAAAAAAAAGACGAATTGATAAATGCAACAAAAAAATAGACAAAAACGACAAAAGAAAAAGTGAAAAAAGGCACAAAAAACGTAATAACAAAAAAAATTCACAAATAATGCCACAAAAATACAATTTTAAAAAGGCAACAAGAAAACTTGAGAAGAGGGCGACAAAACGGAGGCGAATAAAAAATCCAACAAAATAAGACAAAAACAAGATGACAAAATCGCGTCAAAAACGACTAAAAAAAATGTCCCAAAAAAGAGCCAACAAAGAAAAGATCACAAAATCGCGCCAAAAAAGGGGCCCAAAAAATGTAACTAAAATCCAAAAAAATACGAAAAAAGGGTGATAAAAAAAAACGAAAAACAGCGACTAAAAAAGTCACAAAAATGAGTAAACAACGTTACAAAAAACGACTCAAAAAAAGAATGACAAAGACAAGATCACAAAATACTGAAAACGAAGATCCAAAAAAAATACATATAAAAAGGGTGACAAAAAGCAACCAAAAAAGCGACAAAATGAGAAAAAACGTGACAAAAAAAGGGTGACTAAAAAAAATCGGCAAAAAAAGCGAAAAATAGAACGCAAAAAAAGACTATTAAAAAAATGCAACAAAAAAGTGATAAAAAGGTACTAAAGAAAATGTGAAAAAGAGACAAAAAAATCACAAAAAAAGAATCTAAAAGAAAACTCACAAAATAAAAAAAATGACAAAAAGTACGGATCGAAAAAAGGCGAATAAAGAGCTTAAAAAAGCGACCCAAAAATCGAAAAAAAGACTTTAAAAACCCGACGACAAGAAGAGCGACCAGACAACGACGAAGAATGACTTACAAGAGAAGGTAAAAAAAGTACTATTAAAAAAGGTACCAAAAATCCGAAAGAAATAAGGCGACGAATAAATCGACAATAAAAAGATGAAAAAATTAACTACAGAAAAGGTAAAATATGCGACAAAACAACAAAACAAAAAGTGAAAAAAGGAACAAAAAAAATGTGTCTTAGAAAAGGAATCCAAAATAAAGGCGAAAAGAAGGGCTGCCAAAAAAGCCAAAAAAAGAAGGTGATAAAAAAGCCGCGACAAAAAAATGACCAGAAAACTATAAAATAAAACTGAGAAAAAGAGGTGAAAAACTAGGCGATTAAAAAAAGCAAAAAATGCTTAAAAACTGAACAAACGGTGTCACAAAAAGAGGATCCAAAAAATACGACAAAAAAAGGCACAAAAATACTAAAAAAGACGCCAAAAATTTGAAAATAGAGCATAAAAGGGTAAAAAATAGCACCAAAAAAGCTAAAGAAAACAAGACAAAAAAAAGAGAAAAAAGTGCAATAAAGAAAAATACGCAAAAAAACATAACAAGAAAACAACCAAAAAACACGTCAAAAAGACGTCTAAAGAAAAGCGAAAAAAAGATACAAATCATACGTGAAAACAAAATTTTCAAGTAAGGCGTGACAAAAAAAATGCGACCATAAAACGTAACAAAAAAGGATTTAAAAAAACTGACAAAAAACTACTAAAATGCGAAAATGTAAGTGAAATTCAAAACAATACAAAAAAAAGGTGACAAAGAAGCGAACAAACAGCGACTAAAAAAACCCACAAAAAGGGTAAAAACACATAAAACGACTAAAAAAAACTGAAAAAGGACCAAAACATGAAGTGACAAAGAAAGATCACAAAATCGCGATAAAAAGTCGGCCAAAAAATGTAACTGAAACAAAAAAAGACGTAAAAAAGGGAGTCAAAAAAGTGACCAAAAAAGCGATTCAAAAAAGGATAAAAAAAAGCTAAAAAAAGAGCCACTAAAAATCATCAAGAAAAAGCGAAAAATTGGGCGACAAATAAAGGGTAATAGAAAAATACAACAAAAAAATGACAAAAAGAACGGATCAAAAAAAAACGACGTTAAATGGAACGACCAGAAAACGACAAAAAACACAGAGAACAAAAGGTGAATAAAGAGCCATTAAAAAAGGTACAAAAAATCCGAAAGAAAAAAGGCTATGAATAAAACGACAATAAAAAGATAACAAAATTAACTACAGAAAAGGTAAAAATTGCGACAAAAACGACAAAAGAAAAAGTAAAAAAGGGACAAAAAAGTCACAAACATACAATTTAAAAAAGGCGACAAAAAAGATATTACTCCGAAACGAGATCGAAAATAAAGGCGAAAAAAG